TGGCGGAGCTGGTCGGAGTCAAGGAACGGAAGGCGAAGGCGGTGGTGCTGGGGACTCTACTGAGAGGCAGGGCGAGGGCGGTGTACGATAGTGTGGAGGACGCTGACTGGAAGGCGGTGACGGAAAGGCTGCTGTTGGAGTTCGACAGCCCGGCGGATAGGCAGGATGCGCTGCAGAAGTTCCGAGAGGCGCGGCTGTCGGTGGACGGCGACCCACTCGTGCTGGCCGTGGAGTTGACAAGATTGCTGCGCCGGGGTCTGCCGAATTTGGATGAGGAGTCGCAGGCACAGCTGCTAGCCTCGCAATTCATTGAAAGTGTGCCTGCAGAGATTGGCCAGCAGTTGAGACTGGTGAACGCGGCACAACCAATGGACGTCACCGAGCTGGCGAAAGTAACAAGACAACTGATGAACTCAACAGTCGCCTCGGTGGCGTGTGAGAGACAGGCTGATGATGTCGTGAAGAAGATAGAAGAATTACAACGAGAGGTGGCAGCGTTACGAATAAAGGGTGAAAGAAATAATAAATGCTACATTTGCGGAGGAACCGGACATTGGAAGAGGAATTGCCCAACAAGACAAAGACGTAAATATTTTAGACCATACACAAGTTGTTCTTTATGTCTTTCGAAACTGGGGGTTTCGGCATTAGTAGATAAGGGGGCGGTCTATGCGAGAGTAGGGATAAACGAGCGAGAGGTAGTTTGCCTGATTGATACAGGGGCGGCAGTTTCGTTAATAGACAAAGAGCGGTGTAGAGGTATCAGGCCGAGTGCATTAGTTGTTAACACCATCGGCGGCCACGTGTTAAAAATCCTCGGAGTCTCAAATGATATCGTGAAAATCGGCAGTTCGAAAATACAGTTTCCCTTTGTAGTGACTACGAACTTGTCGAGACCAATACTAGGAGCAGATTTCTTGAGAGAAGTAGGAGCAATTATTGATACAAGAAGTAAGAAGGTGATTACAAAGTACGGCACACTGACAATACATGAAAGCAGCGAGGTGGCTGAGGTTAGAGTAGCAAAAGAGGACATTGGAAAGAAACAGAACATTAACGAGGTGCTCACAAAATATAAGAAGTTGTTCACGGGAGACGGAGAACCGTACGGGTTTTGTAATAAAGTCAAACATGAAATTCCGATAAAGAACGAAGAAGTAACCATCTTCACAACACGACGGGTCCCCGTACATTTGGAAGCTGAGATAAACCAGCAGGTACAGGAGATGTTAAAAGCAGGTATAATTGAAGAAGCAGATAGCCCGTACAGCTCACCGGTACTTTTGGTAAAGAAGCCAAATGGAAAGTATAGATTCTGTGTTGACTTTAGAGAACTGAATAACGTGACAGAAATAAAACCATGTGCAATGCCAACAACAGCGGAGACATTAGATCGTCTACAGAGTGCTACGGTGTTCACAGTGTTAGATTTACGGTCGGGCTATTGGCAGCTACCAATAAAAGACAGTGATCGCAGCAAAACGGCATTTATCGTACGGGAGAAGCAGTATCAATTTAAACGAATGCCCTTTGGATTGGCGGGCGCACCGTTTACGTTTCGAAGACTAATGACATTGCTGCTCAGAAACCTGGAGAATGTCGAGGTTTATGGCGATGATTTGGTCTTATATAGTCGTACAGAGGCAGAACATGTGAGGCACGTGGAGGCGGTCCTAAGGCGAATTGATGAGTTTGGTTTACGAATTAACAAAGACAAGTCTCAGATAGCGAAAAGAAGCGTCACGTTGCTGGGGCATAAAGTAGGCAATGGAGAAATAAAACCACTGCCGGAGAAGATTCTAACGATAAAGAATATTGCAGTTCCCAACTCAAAAAGGAAGTTAAGACAGTTCCTGGGAAGAGCGGCGTTCTACAGCAGATTCGTGAAGAACTTCAACGATATAGCAGCACCTCTATATAAAGTGCTAGGCAATGCGAAGTTTACGTGGACAGAGACCGCTCAACAAACTTTCGACCGAATCAAAGAGCTGTTAGATGACCGCCAAATGACGCTGAGACTGCCGGAACCCGAGAAGCCATTTACAGTGACCACTGATGCGAGCGATCACGGTATAGGTGCGGTCTTGAGGCAGTCTGACAGAGTGGTGGAGTATGCCAGCCGTGTCCTTACGCCGACAGAACAGAAGTATTCCACAGTAGAAAAAGAGTGTTTAGCGATTGTATGGGCGGTAGACAAATGGAGACCGTATCTACTGGGTCGGCGATTTCACATCGAGACGGATCATAAGCCCCTACAATGGTTAAAAACAGCAAAAGACCCTCGGGGGAAGTTGGCTCGATGGATGCTACGTCTGCAGGAGTATGATTTTAGTATCGGGCATGTGCCAGGGGAGGAAAATGTAATGGCAGATTATTTGTCAAGACCGGACACCGAAGCCGAACTTCCAGAGATAGCGTGTGCAGTTAACGGTCTAGAGGGAGATCCCCTAGAACTCGTCCGGCATCAGAAAGCCGACCCTAACCTTCGGGAGGTAATCAGAGTGATAAAAGAGGGAGAAGATGTTGACAAGAGTGGAACAGATAAAGAATTAACAGTGTTGCTGAGGCAGAAGGAGAGACTGAGAGTGAACGGATACGGAGCCTTGACCTGGCGGGATGATGACGAGAATTGGGTAGCAATAATCCCAAAAGATCTGCGCCAGGACATGATTCGTGAATGTCACCAGGTAGCGCACACAGGTATTGCACGGACAACTGATTTGCTGCGACAAAGTGCGTACTGGCCAGGTATGAGAGACGATGTTGCACGATATGTATTAGCGTGCCAGCGATGTCAACTAATGAAAGGGGATCGATGCATACGACCGCCATTGCAGTCAATTCCAGTAACAGCAGTTGGTGATTTGTGGTCAGTAGATATTATGGGACCGTTCCCACAGACGACAAGTGGTAACCAGTACCTGCTGGTGATGACTGAGCATGCCACACGATGGGTAAATGCCGTGCCGATGGCGGACCAACGTGCAAGGACGGTGACGGAAGCAGTAATGCGGCACATTGTGGCTGACCATGGGATACCAAAGATAATATTAACCGATCAAGGTCCCTGTTTCGAGAGTGATGAGTTCAAGTCCCGTCTAAAGCAGTTAGGTATCAAGAGAGTACGAACAACGCCGTATCATCCACAGACGAATGGGTTAACGGAAAGGAATAACCGAACGCTAAAGGAATGGCTAGCATCTAAAGGGGGTGACTGGGAGAAAGAATTACCATTAATCTTGCTGGCACATGGTGCCTCGGCACAGGGAACAACCAGGAAGTCACCGTTCCTGCTGATGTATGGCAGACGACCGAGACTACCAACGCATGATAAAACCTGGCCGCAACAACAGAGATGGAATACAACAAGATTGAGAACAGAGCGGAGACAAGCAATCAGGAATGTGAGAGAGAAACAAACATCAGACATGCAGAAGTCAGAACAGGAGAGAAAGAACTGGAGACCGTTTGAAGTGGGAGACCAAGTGAAGTGTAGAGAACGGAAATGTACCACAGGAAGAGGGCCAGGGTCAGGTAAGCTGATCCCGAAGTGGGAGGGACCGTACGTAGTAACCGAGAGGCGCGGCGCAGTGTATACAATCCAGAAAGGAAACAAACAGAAACGCGTGAATGCCAGTGAACTCCAAAGGTGGTTCCAAGTGCGCCAAGAGGGCGAGCCACAAACACTGATAAAGAAGACGGCTGTACGGAGATCAGAAAGGCTGAGAGAGCGACTTGTTAAAGGGGGGACGAGTGTGGTGTGTGCTACTTATACGAACGATATAAGTAGTATAAGAATGGACGTGAAAGAAGATGTCTTACGGTCAGAAGAGGAAAACGGAAAGCGAACAGAGCAAAAGCAAGAAAGATTTAGAGCACCGACAGGAAGTAAAGGAAGCAACAGCAGGAATGGAGGAAGGCTGGAGCGTTGGAAGTCAGGACTCAAAGATGGTGTGCAAATGGAGTGTTCAATGTAATGTTATCGTTTTTAATTGACTAAGAGTGTAAATTTGCCAAATATAATCTATTGAGCCTGCCTCAGTCTTCTCACTACTACTATGGGATTTGAACTGACAATTTTGTCTCTGTGCTACTAATATGGTGCCAGTGAGAGTAGAAGATATTCGTAGGTTACTGGTTTTCGATCATAGGTTTCTTCGAAGCATTGCTCGTATATCGTGGGACACCTGAGTGAGCAACGCTGTTATTAGGATACGGGTGCTAGGTAAGAATGGCAGATCAATCGATGAAGTAATGAAACTTCATCGGTTGAGGTGGTTGGGACATGTGTTGCGTATGCCTAACCACCGACTACCTCGTCGAGCTTTGTTTTGTAGTGTAGGAATAGGTTGGAAGAAAGTTAGGGGTGGCCAAACCAAAACATGGCACAAATCCATGAAGTCATTGACGAGTGGACTTGGCCATGTCGGTAATTGTCGACTACCTGGTTGGGGTCTGCGAGATGATAATAATCGATGGTTAAAGACCATGAATGACATGGCTCAAAACCGTTTGCAATGGCGCCGGTGCATTTATTCTTTGTGTTCTCTCAAATCCTAATCTTCTGGATTCTTCAACAACTCTAGTTTTGACTTTCTAAACTTTTCTCATTAAATCATACTTCTTGAATAATATTTTCTAATCCTAACCTCATCGATTAACTTCTAATATATACCTTTACTACCTCTACTAATACTATTGGATTTGAATTGACAATTACATCTCTGTGTGTGCTAATATGGTATGGCAACTTGAACTAATATACGTACGTACGTACGAAGTTCTACGTTGTATCTGATTGACTGACTGACTGACAGATAACAGTCCTATGTGTACTTTTGAAACAAGTCCATCAGTAGTTAGTAAATCAATGGCATAAAATCAAACCATGATGACATCAGAAAAATCCATGTAATGATTTAAAACTCTATGGAGACACAGATGGATTGTAATCTGTAGTTAAGAGAAGAAATACAACTGGGGGGTGGTGGGGAACTTACGTCACAGCAACTATACGACCACATGGACTGAAAGCTAAACTACGAAATTTCAAATTCATATGAGAAGGTTGTAGTGCAAGTTCAAAATAACTTTTCAATGGAGAATTCACAGGAGCAAATGGCCATAAACGAATACATCTATAAAGAGATGGAGAGAGAGGGGGAGAGAGAGAGAGTTACAGAGAGGAACACATACATTATTCTAACTGGTGACTTCGTTTATATATATTCGTAAAGTAGATAAGAAACATATAAGAGATGTTTGTATACATATATACTGTGGTGCTGTGGTGCGAACTACTTATAAGTAGTATATAACGTGAGTGTTAACGTAAAGTCTGGTAGCATAATATGGGGGGAAGATCAAGAAAGGAAGAGTTAGAAAACAATGGAATTTGTATGAAACGCATGAATAGTGAGTGACAATGGATTGATGTTGTTTGCAACAGGAACAGTCCAGTTCGATATGATGAACTGATCTTTTGCAAATGAACGATTTACGATATGGTTTTCCGATTTTACTGAGTAACTTTGTAATTTTCGTTAAATACAATTCGGTTGCCCCACCTGTGTTCTCATTCAATACAATACTATAAAGAGAAGGCGTGGTAATTTTGCTTCAATCCCTATCATTTAGTTCAGATACCAATGCAAGCCAATCTTGAAGCAATATTTTGCATTTCGACGTAGGAGAATCGTATCCCAAACATGCTTGGATTGTTGTGGTCAAGGTAGTTGTTAGAAGACTGTGCATTTTGTCAGCATCTTCACCAAAAAGAACTATGTCGTCGGCATACTCTAAGTCAACAAAGGTGTCTCCTGACAGTAAGTCCATTTCTGAAAATTCAGACGAAGATAATGCTATTTCTAAAAGCATGTCTAAGACAAAGTTAAACAAGAATGGAGAAAGTGGACATCCCTGATGGACACCAGTTGAAGTAAAGAATGCCGATAACAATTAGCCAGCCATAAGCTCTAACTCGATCAGTAATGTTCGAGCAGAGAGCTATCACAAGGTTAATGTACTTCGTTGGTACACGTTTTAATTAATGACAAACACTGCCACAGAACTTCACGATTGACAGAGTCGAATGACGCTTTAAGGTCGATAAATACTACTACTGTGGAACGTCTGAACGTGTGTCTATGTTCCAGGACCTGACGTGAGGGTAATTGTCATTTTTAGATTGGTCACACTGAGTAAACATAATTGTCAAGAGATATCAAAATAAAATGAAGTTAGGAGTGATTTTGCTGACCTGTGTAAGTATATAAAATCATATCATCCAATGAACATCTGTTTACGAATGGTCACAATATGGCCTTTTTGGTATGTCCTAACTGAGACAACTTTAATAACCAATATGTAACAGGCACCAGAAGATTGTTACTCTATATGCTTGATGGTGTTGGCGAAATACGAACTAGCCTCGGATGAAAATGACGAACACAAGAACGATATTCACCAGTCCGAGATTATTATTATTATATTTCAGTCAGTTAGTCATTTACAATGTACAACTTCGTACGTATACACATCAATCGGTTGAAGTTGCCATAGCACACATGAGCACAAAGAAGCAAATGTCAATTCAAATCCCACAGTAGTAGAGATAGAAGTATGAGCAGTAATAGAGAAGATTAGGGTTTGAGGATATTATTCAGGAAGTATAATCCAGTAAAATAAACTTAAAAAGAGAAAGATAGAGAGGTGATAAGGGATTCAAAAGATTAAAATTTGAGAGAACACAAAGAATGGATACACCTAAGACAGTGCAAACGATTTTGAGCCACATTATTCAACGTCTCTAACCACCGGTTACTATGATCTCGCCGACCACAATCTGATAGCCTACATCTATCAACATAACTCAGTCCACTTGTCCGTGACTTCATGGATTTCTGCCATGTTTTTGTTTCGCCGACCCTAACTTTCTTGCAATCTACTCCTACACTGCAAAACATAGCTCGTCGCGGCAGTCGGTGGTTAGCCATACGTAACACACGTCCTAACCACCTCCACTCATGAAGTTTCATTACTTCATCCATTGATCTGCCATTCTTACCTAGCACCCGATTCCTAATAACAGCGTTGCTCACTCGAGTGTCCCACGATAAACAAGCAATGCTTCGAAGACAACTAAGATCGAAAACCAATAACCTACGAATATCTTTTACTCTCACTGGCCATGTTTCACAGCCATAAAGTAAGACTGAGCGAACTACTGCGCAGTACACTCATCCTTTAGTTAACAAACGGATATCTCGCCTTCGCCATAAGTGACGCAGGTTGGCAAAAACCAATCGAGCCTTCAGTGAGGTAAATTTCCACGGTGTAGGCAGCCGGGAAGTAACATCCGCCCTCATACTCATAAAAGCACACGAGACCGAATTGGTAACAATCAAATATCAATAATGTTGTTTGAATTTCGTATATGTATAAAATATGGATGTTTGGAATAGCATAATAAGGATGGCAGGTCAATAGATGAAGTAATGAAACTTCATGAGTGGAGGTGGTTAGGACGTGTGTTACGTATGGCTAACCACCGACTGCCTCCACGAGCTTTGTTTTGTACTATAGGAGTAGGTTGGAAGAAAATTAGGGGCGGCCAAACCAAAACATGGTAGAAATCCATGAAATCATTGACGAGTGGACTTAGCCATGTCGGTAATTGTCGAATACCTGGTTGGGGTCCGCGAGATGATAATAATCGATGGTTAGAGACCTTGAATGACATGGCTCAAAACCGTTTGCAATGGCGTCGGTGCATTTATTCTCTGTGTTCTCTCAAATCCTAATCTTCTGGATTCTTCAACACCTCTAGTTTTGACTTTCTAAACTTATCTCACTGAATCATACTTCTTGAATAATATGTTCTAATCCTAACTTCTCCGATTACTTCTAATACCTTTACTACCTCTTCTACTATTGGATTTGAATTGACAATTATATCTCTGTGTGCTGATGTGGTATGGCAACATGAACTGATGTACTTACGTACATACGTAGTTCTACGTTGCATCTGACTGACTGACTGAATTATCCGTCTTGAATAACACCTTCGAACCCTGATCTCTCTCCAATTACTTCTAATACTATTACTATCGCTACTACTACTACTACTATGGGATTTGAATTGACAATTGTGTCTCTGCACTGTAGTATGGAACTGTTGTACTTACGTGCAAAGTTCTACGTTGCTGTCGATGATGATGATGACGTTATTGATGCAATGAAAATCAGAGAATAGGGTATACAGATAATCGATTCTAGTTAATGAGTAGAAAAATACTACTATAACAAAAACAATCTACGATGCAAATAAAAGCTTGAAACTATGGGGAAGACGATAATAATAAAACTAAAATACTTAATAAACATATGAATAAAACCTTAGTAAAATAGTTTTGTTACGCCAGTCTCTATGTATGCTTAAACTATTACGAGTTCACCTTAGTTGAATAACGAGAATAAAACAATGAACCAGCGTCCAGGTAGGCTACTGTGATCCCTTGACCAAAAGGTAACAGCGAAAAGTCTTGATATAGTGTAGAAATTGTATTCTACAAACATCCAACCAGCAAACACAATCAATCCAAGCAATCAAATTGCGTTTATTTATACTCTATAGAGACGTCCTTGGGACTGTCACACAAAAATAGCACACTAAAATGACACAGTAACCACCAATCACAGTCAAGGATTTTTCTGGTGGGAAATGTACTCTCACGGTCAACTGATCGGTCCATGAAATAAATCCAAAATAAAGATATTTATCAAGCAAGTTCTGGGGATCTAACATCCCTAACAAGTTTCGAAAGTTTTTACATCATAGTTAAAAGTCAGCTCACACCGCACCTTTCTTTTTTTTTCAAACATCGTCGAATTCGTTGTGATCTCCTTAAAGGTGGCGTATCTCTTTCTCTATGCACTGTTCATGTTTGAGATCAAACGACATATTCAAAGCCACACGGATTACCATGTTGATTTCAACCCTGTCTTTGCATGTGGATCATGGTATATGGTTGACGGCCCATATCCATTTCATAGTGTTAACCCTGATTTCATTGATGACTTTCCCTGGAACATAGACACACATTTAAGCGTCCTACAATAGTTGTTTTCCTGGACCTTAAGGCGGCATTTGACTCTGTCAATCGTGAAGTTCTGTGGCAGTGTCTGTCATTCAAAGGTGTACCAAAGAAGTACATTAACCTTATACAAGCTCTCTCCTCGAACACCACTGGTCGAGTGAGGGCTTATGGCGAACTGTCACCGGAATTCTCTACATCAAGTGGTGTCCGTCAGGGATGTCCGATTTCTCCATTCTTGTCTAATTTTATCATTGACATGCTCCTAGAAATAACCTTATCCTCGTCTGAATTTACTGGAGTAGACCTTCTACCAGGTGGCTCGCTTATTGACTTAGAATATGCCGACGACATTGTCCTACTTGGTGAAGACGCTGAAAAAATGCTGAGTCTTCTGACTATCCTAAGCAACAATGCAAGCATGTTCGGAATGCGGTTTTCCCCTCGAAATGCAAAATGTTGCTTCAAGACTGGGTTTCATCGGCACCTGAACTAGTGATAGGGAGTGAAGTAGTCGAACGTGTAGACCGCTTCACTTATCTGGGGAGTCTCATCAGCACCGATAGCCTGGTGACTGACGAAATCTCAGCATGGATACAGAAGGCTCGATTGGCTTTTGCCGACCTGCGTCACTTATGGCGTAGGCGAGATATCCGTTCTCTAATCAAAGGAGGAGTGTACTGCGCAGTAGTTCGCTCAGTCTTACTTTATGGCTGTGAAACATGGCCAGTGAGAGTAAAAGATATTCGTAGGTTACTGGTTTTCGATCATAGGTGTCTTCGAAGCATTGCTCGTATATTGTGGGACACTCGAGTGAGCAATGCTGTTATTAGGAATCGGGTGCTAGGTAAGAATGGCAGATCAATGGATGAAGTAATGAAACTTGATCAGTTGAGGTGGTTGGGACATGTGTTGCGTATGCCTAACCACCGACTGCCTCCACGAGCTTTGTTTTGTAGTGTAGGAATAGGTTGGAAGAAAGTTAGGGGTGGCCAAACCAAAACATGGCACAAATCCATGAAGTCATTGACGAGTGGACTTAGCCATGTCGGTAATTGTCGACTACCTGGTTGGGGTCCGCGAGATGATAATAATCGATGGTTAGAGACCTTGAATGACATGGCTCAATATCGTTCGCAATGGCGCCAGTGCATTTATTCTCTGTGTTCTCTCAAATCCTAATCTTCTGGATTCTTCAACACCTCTAGTTTTGACTTTCTAAGGTTTTCTCACTAAATCATACTTCTTGAATAATATCTTCTAATCCTAACCTCTTCGATTATTTCTAATACCTTTACTACCTCTACTAATATTGGGTTTGAATTGACAATTACATCTCTGTGCTGCTGTGGTATGGCAACATGAACTGATGTACTTACGTACATACGAAGTTCTACGTTGCATCTGACTGACTTTCCCTCTAGCGGGTAAGATAATTCCATGTATCTCTACTCTGAATTCGGACAATTAAAATCAAATACCATAACCGACTACTATCCTACTGAGAATCTCCCGAATTTCACTTTATGTTTCTGCAGTTTCATTTTCGTCTCAGAAGCGGTATTTTACTTTTTCTTCCAAACACTAATTTTGACAGGGTAGGATGCCTCATCAATTGTTGTAAAATTCATTGCCGCTTGACAAGCAAACAAACAGTTCTGTATTAGAATTCTTCGATAAATCGTTCAACATGTACATTAGATTATTTTTAGTTTTACAGATCTCTTCAACTAGCCTGTCTAGCATGGTTAAGATCTCAGCAGAACTAGTGTTTCAACTCGATTGGGTTATCATGATAAAAAAAAAAAAACCCGATACTATTAAATAAAAGTAGTAGATAAGGTCAGAAGAGATAAATCATAAGGCTATTTATTATTCCTATTGAAATACTATTTTTCTGAGTTAATTGAACTAACAGTCTTAAATATGTCAGATATATATGTATAAATCACAAACCAGCTGACTAAGGTAGTTTTACAAGAAACGCAGAAACTATCATACATGAGAATCGCAGTTGAACTTGCCATACCATATCAGCACAACGTAAATGAAATTATCAAGACAAATATATGCCAGTGAATTAGAACCAGTAACAACAGTATCACTGGTAATCAGTAAGACATAGACAATATGATTCACAGGAATGCAAAATACTACTACTACTACTACTGTGGTGCGCGCTACTTATAAGTAGTATATGACGTGAGTGTCAACGTAATGTCTGGCAGCAGAAGATGGGGGAATACCAAGAAAGGAAGTGTTAGAACACAATGGAATTTGTATGAAACGCATGAATAGTGAGTGACAATGGATTGATTTGGATTTGCAACAAGAACAGTCCAGTTCGATATGATGAACTGATATTTTGCAAATTAACGAACGGTTACGATATGGTTTTCTGATTCTACTGAGTAACTCTGTAATCCGGTTGCCCTCGCCTGTGTTCTCGTTCACTACACTACTACTAATACTACTTACCTATCTTCACAAATAGTAATAAAATATAAATCATCCGGAGACAATGATAAACCATAGATATGATGACCATTTGATCCACCACGAAGAGGAATACTAGGCTCACGTCCCATATGCCTAGATAAATAACAACAAGAATGAAAATGCATTTGTATTAGACAATTGAACATAAAGGAAAAAAAAAGAAGTATTTGTTTGAATGGGTGATTTACACACCCACGGCATTACAACTTGATCGATAGAATCTCGGATCAACCCATTAAGGAAGGAATAGATTAATAGGTTATTCATCACTCCTTAATGATTGATTATTGTCAGTCAGTCAGATGAAACGTAGAACTTCGTATGTACGTAAGTACATCAGTTCATGTTGCCATACCACATTAGCACACAGATATAATTGTCAATTCAAACCCAATAGTAGAAGAGGTAGTAAAGGTATTAGAAGTAATCGGAGAGGTTAGGATTAGAAGATATTATTCAAGAAGTATGATTAAATGAGAAAGTTTAGAAAGTCGAAACTAGAGGGGTTGAAGAATACAGAAGATTAGGATTTGAGAGAGCATAAAGAATAAATTCACCGGCGCCATTGCGAACGATTTTGAGCCATGTCATTCAATGTCTCTAACCATCGATTAATTACCATCTCGTGGACCCCAACCAAGTAGTCGACAATTACCCACATGGCTAAGTCCACTCGTCAATGACTTCATGGATTTGTGCCATGTTTTGGTTTGGCCGCCCCTAACTTTCTTCTAACCTATTCCTACACCACAAAACAAAGTTCGTCGAGGCAGTCGGTGGTTAGGCATACGCAACACATGTCCCAACCACCTCAACTGATCAAGTTTCACCGCTTCATCTATTGATCTGCCATTCTTACCTAGCAACCGATTCCTAATAACAACGTTGCTCACTCAGGTGTCCCACGATATACGGGCAATGTTTCGAAGACACGTATGATCGAAAACCAGTAACCTATGAATATCTTCTACTCTCACTGGCCATGTTTCACAGCCATAAAGTAAGACGGAGCGAACCACTGCGCAGTACACTCGTCCTCTAGTCAGCAAACGGATATCTCGCCTTCGCCATAAGTGACGCAGGTTGGCAAAAGCCAATCGAGCCTTCTATATCCGTGCTGAGATTTCGTCAGTCACCAGGCCATCAGAACTGATGAGACTCACAAGATAAGTGAAGTGTTCAACACGCTCGACTACTTCACTCCCTATCACTAGTTCAGGTGCCGATGCAACCCAGTCTTGAAGCAACATTTTGCGTTTCGAGGGGGAAAACCGCATTCCGAACATGCTTGCATTGTAGCTTAGGGTAGTCAGAAGACTCAGCATTTTGTCAGCGTCTTCACCAAGTAGGACTATGTCATCGGCATATTCTAAGTCAATAAGCGAGCCACCTGGTAGGTCTACTCCTGAAAATTCAGACGAGGATAAGGTTATTTCTAGGAGCATGTCAATGATAAAATTAAACAAGAATAGAGAAAGTGGACATCCCTGACGGACACCACTTGAAGTGAAGAATTCCGGTGACAGTTCGCCATAAGCTCTCACTCGACCAGTGGTGTTCGAGGAGAGAGCTTATATAAGGTTAATGTACTTCTTTGGTACACCTTTCAAGATCGATCAATCTTAAAAGTCATGAAAATGAACAGTCGTGATGAACCTAATAACCCATTGAAAACATCAGAGATGACGAAGCTGGATGAAGCGGACTCAAATCTCACAAAATGTATTAACTTATTTAAGTTATGAAGTATACCATAGTTTTCTTTGTCTTATAATGGATTTACGTTGTTTATGTACCAACTATGGAGGCATAAGTTTTTTTCCGATGGTATCCACATTATTGGCTTTCATCATACTTTGCAGATTGTTCGGAGCCAGGATAAGATATACTCGTGAGAAGCAGACTGGTTTTCGTTCTGATCAACGATGTATCAATCATATCTTCACCCTCTGGCAAATGTTAGAATACAGCTATACCTATAGAAAGCCTAAAAATGTCACACCTCACCCTACCTCACGGATTTCCGTCTCTGGCGGTAAGGGTGCTCACTAAGGGCCTTTAAGAGCGGAGCTAATCCTCAAAAAACCTTTCATAAAAAGGCCGTGCGTGACCGGCCTCAAGCAGTTGTCCCTTGGACTCTGCGGTCACGCTCCCAGGTCTCCAACACCAACATTAATCTATCTTCCTTTTCAGGTCACTCAAGAAACAACCTTCCACGGTGTGGGCAGCCGGGAAGTGACAACCGCCCTCATACCCGTAACAGCACGAGAGACCAAATTGGTCAAAATCAAATCCTTCCTACACCAACACATACCTCTCTTCTCTCCACAACTAACTCTACTCACATTCCCTTATCTCACAGCCACCCATGGAGGGGTTCGATAGAAGACTGTCGCTCGTTGTGGGGCACATGTTTAGATTCAGATCATGCCCTAGTGCGAGCGCGTATTTGTTTGAAGCTTACTGGGCGTAGGAAAGACCCCGTAAGAAAGCCTCTTAGGGTTTTACTTAATGATAATAGGGCAAAGAATATATTTCAGGAACAGCTAGAAAGACAGTTAGGATTGCCTAATCCCACTATTCCTCGCCAACTTTGTCATCGATGACGCTCTGGTAACAGATCTGATGAATGCAGATAATGGTGGTGTGGATCTGTTATCTGCGAAAGGAAATTCTAGTCTTGTATATTCGGATGATAATGTCTCATTGTGCGATCATTCCCAAGCCATACAATCCACACTTGATCAATTGCCGATTAGCGTCCATAGGTACAGCATGTGCTTTACACCTTCCAAGTGCAAAGTACATTTAAAAAACTGGTAGGACCCTGAACCTGCACTCATTCTTGGTATCGAGAAAATAGAAGCAGTTGAAAATTTTGTGCATCTGGGTTACCAGGTACATGTTAGTCGTTGCGTCAATTATGAAATCAATTCACATGAAAGCTAGAGCAGCTAATGCCGAGTTGGGCCACATTTGGTGCCTTCGTGATGTTGGTCTGATTGTAAAAGGTTGGGCTTACAAGTCCGACTTGTGAAACCTAATCTCTGCGAGTTGAAAATACTAGGAAACTCTCTGTGTCCTGTCATCGTTATCACTGAAGGATTGCTGGCAACACTGTGTTAGTAATGCAAGAGGTAGGTCAATGTGTGTTCCGGCACAACGACAATAATCTAAATGGTGTCAATGTCTTCAAAAGTCGATTTTAATGGCTTGAAAATATACTGCTAATGTCATCTGACCAAACCCCACACCGTTCATTATTTGCCAACTCTTGGACTGGTTAGCTTGTATGATTTATTACGAAGCAATACGGAGAATGCTTAGGTAGTGTAATAAAGTTGAATTGTAATTAATGAGTATGGTCGAGTAATTCAAAAGCCCTGAGATGTTAAAAAAAAACAAGTACAAATGCAAAGACAACTAAAAACATTTTACCAGTTCTTATGCATATTATGTTAGAAGCATAAATAAAGTGCATACTACTGATACGATTCACATTTGTTGAAGATCAACTCTCAAGTAAATAGGGCAACAGGCTTCATTAGCTAGAACTCTCCACCACCAAGTTTTTGCTTCTGTGTGTGTGTGTTCGAAATTCAAGCGCTTCATATTTAGCAATACGGAACAGTCAACAAATTGTGTGTCAGAGAATCCAACAGACAGACAGATACAACGCAGAACTTCGTACGTAAGTACATCAGTTCAGGTTACCATATCACATCAGCACAGAGACGCAACTGTCACTTCGAATCCAAGAAAGATAGCGATAGTAGAATTATTAGCAGTAATAGAGAAGATTAGGCAGCAAAGATGTGATTCCAGATATGACCGAAGCTGCTACCTTGACATGGTGGTCGGGCTTGCCTATCACGATGACCCAACCAAGCTATATTGGCTGGAACATATGTTCCTGAAGGTTCTACCATGCCAGGCAGATCGATTGGAGAACGATGAGACTAAAAGCAGCTACTCAAGGTCTGAGAGCGAAGTCGTACTGCTGACTGAAGTGAGGTGTGACAGCAGTAAGGTCAGTCAGTCAGTCAGTTGCAATGTAGAACTTCGTACGTAAGTACATCAGTTCATGTCGCCATACCACATCAGCAGAGATATAATTGTCGATTCAAATCCAATAGTAGAAGAGGTAGTAAAGGTATTAGAAGTGATCGGAGAGGTTAGGATTAGAAGATAATATTCAAGAAGTATGATTCTGTGAGAAAAGTTTAGAAAGTAAAAACTAGAGGTGCTGAAGAATCCAGAAGATTAAGATTTGAGAGAACACAAAGAATAAATGCACTGGCGCCATTGCGAGCGATTTTGAGCCATGTCATTCAAGGTCTCTAGCCATCGATTATTATCATCTCGCGGACCCCAACCAGGTAGGTAGTCGACAATTACCGACATGGCTCTAAGTTCACTCGTCAACGACTTCATGGATTTCTGCAACCTTTTGGTTTGGCCGCCCCTAGCTTTCTTCCAACCTATTCCTACACTACAAAACAAAGCTCGACGAGGTAGTCGGTGGTTAGGTATACGCAACACGTGTCCCAACAACCTCAACTGATTAAGTTTCACCACTTCATCCATTGATCTGCCATTCTTACCTAGCACCCGATTCCTAATAACAACGTTGCTCACTCAGGTGTCCCACGATATACGAGCAATGCTTCGAAGACACCTATGATCGAAAACCAATAACCGACGAGTATCTTCTACTCTCATTGGCCATGTTTCACAGCCATAAAGTAAGACGGAGCGAATCACTGCGCAGTACACTCGTCATTTAGTCAGCAAACGGATATCTCGCCTACGCCATAAGTGACGCAGGTTGGCAAAAGCCAATCGAGCCTTCTATATCCGTGCCGAGATTTCGTCGACAGCAGTAAGGTGTTTCCCTCGGACAACCAGCGTCTGCTGAGATGTTGCCTTCTCACGAGGAAGGAAGGGTTGGAAAAGGTCGACCCTAAAAAGGTCACACCTCACCCTATTTCACAGATTTCCGTCTCCATCGGTAAGGGTGCCCACGAAGGGCTTTCAAGAGTGGAGCTAATACTAAAAAAACCTTTCATAAAAAGACCGTGCGTGACCGGCCTCAAGCAGTTGTCCTCTGGGCTCTGCGGTCACGCACCCAGGTCTTCAAGACCAACACTAATCTACCTTCCTTTTCAGGTCCCTCAAGAAACAACCTTCCACGGTGTGGGCAGCCGGAAAGAGTGACAACTGCCCTCATACCCGTAACAGCACAAGAGACCGAATTGGTCAAAATCAAATCCTTCATACACCTCCGAATCCAACAACAACAACAAAGACATACATATAATACTAACTGTTAAACGAGTATAGTTTTTTTTTCTATTGATCATAAATTACTTACCAAAAACGATGTAAACATTGATATTCTGGTACAGACCATACAGCACAACATGAATCATATGAAGCAGTAATTAATAAACTGCCATCTTTAGAAAATTTTGCCACTGATATTCGATGATAATGACCAGATCGTATATAAGCAATTCGAGTAAAAGGAGATTCAGCCTTGATGAAAGAAACAAAGCCACAGTTCATTCATCAAATTAACTTATTTACTAGGTTTACTTGAGTATGAGCAACATGAGGGCTAATGACACTACTACTACTACTACTGTGGTGTGAGCTACTTATAAGTAGTATATGACGTGAGTGTCAACGTAATGTCTGGCAGCAGAAGATGGGGGAAGATCAAGAAAGGAAGAGCGGAGAACACAATGAAATTTGTATGAAACGCATGAATAGTGACAATGGATTGATTTGGATTTGCAACAGGAACAGTCCAGTTTGATATGAAGAACTGATATTTTGCAAACTAACGATTTATGATATGGTTTTCCTATTTTACTGAGTAACTCTGTAATCTTCGTTAAATACAATCCGGTTGCCCCACCTGTGTTCTCCTTCACTACACTACTACTACCCAACTGCTCAAATAGAATTAGATGTGGTGAGGTGTAATCGCGCCACTTGGTGACCGCAGGTTGAACACTTTAATCCCTGAGGATGCCAAAAAGTCTGGGTCATCATCGAATGGCTGATTATTTCACATAGTCGCTCAATCCAAAAATGTTTAGCTGTATTAATCACATATGTATGAACGGATCTTCTAAACTCAATTAATGAGTAATCAGCCTGGACAGTGATAAGTAAGGTAAAAAAAATTTATGAGGTCGCGCAAGACCATGAATTGATCGAAGTTAGACATTAACACCGCGTTAGATACTGACTCAGTGGCCCAAGGTGCTGGGTTCGAATCCCGTGAGGTGCGAGAGTCATGGATAGGTATGAGCATGAGCCATACTCTACTATCTAAAAATGATTTATTCACGATTTCAATGTAAAATAACGATCTAAATTATACTATAATGCAAAAACAAACTATTGTTATGTTTCAACTGCCTTAAGTTATTGTTAATGAATTACAGACCAAGTTGCCCATACCCAGTTAAGCTCTTATGCATTTAATATTGTTAGATATGCTAAAGTTTCATTTCTATTTACATTTTAAACTTAAACTTGACCGTAACCGCTACTTTAATATATAAGACAGGTCTGAATATTGTAATGATCTAATCGAGCTATACTAGCTGAAATACTTGTTCGTTAAGACCCTACTAGGTCAGCTAGAGAAACGTTTATGCAGGAAGTAGCAGGTCAGAGGACGAAGTTATACTGATGGGTATGACAGTGGCAAAAGGTATCTCTCCCAGACAGCTAGCATCTGTGGTAATACCATCTTCTCATAAGTAAAGGAAAGGAATAGAGAAAAGTTCAACCCTAAAAATGTCATACTATGATAGGCTTACTCTACAGATTTTCACCTCCGTTGAAAAGATCTTTGGAGTTTGCAATTGACGAATTTGTGTTGGATTCTGTGTGATCATGCTTTCAGGTCGTTGAGACCTAAGAAGAAATATATTTTCATAGTGTAACAGCCGAGGAGAAGTGACAACTACCCTTACTGATAATTCTAACAGTATGCGAGAAGATCACCTACCTTTATCTGTTCAATAAATCTACAATTAAAATAACAATCGAAAATTATTATCTTACATTAAGTACTACAGCATGACCACGTTCACCAGCTAAGAATATATGCCTACCAAATGGATGCCATGCAAATGTACATGCTTCACCTTGAATTTCATGATTATAATATGGCTGATTATGAAGCAGAGAATTTGTTGGTGGAATAGTAAATTTATGTCGTAATTTTCCATACATATTACCATCATCCCATAAATCCCATAATCTTACTTCACCACCACGATGTACTGAACCAATACGTAGACTACCATCTGTAGCAGCTGATAATAGATATACAAGTGTACAATCATCTGTTAAAATATATTTAGGAGTATCTATGAAGAGATGGAAGATTTTACAGAAAAAACAAAAAACAAGTTATTGTTAAGCAAAATACTGAGATTTAAAAAATTGATGTTCATGAAGACAATGTCAAAATGCAGAGTCTTTTCTGACCATGCTAAGCTACAATGGAATCATGTTTAGGATGTGATTTTCCAACGTCGAAATGCAAAATATAGCTATGGGATTGGCACCTGAACTAGTGATAGGGAGTGAAACAAGTGAGTATTTTGACTGTTTCATCAGTACTGATGGCCTATTGTCTTATGAAATCTCAGCACGGATAAAGAAGGCTTGATTGGCTTTTGCCAATATGAGTCACTTATGGTGTTGACGAGAAATCTGTCTACCACCCACCGAAGGATGAGTCTACTGCTCCGTCCTATTCTATGACTGTGAAATATGGCCAGTCAAATTGAAGATATTCGCAAGTTACTGGGTTTCAATCATAGGTGTCTCCGAAGTATTGCTCGTACATCCCGGTGTAGTGAAAGAGAACACAGGTGGGGCAACCGAATTGTATTTAGCGAAACTACAGAGTTACTCAGTAAAATTGGAAAACCATATCGTAAATCGTTAATTTACAAAATATCAGTTCATCATATCGAACTGGACTGTTCCTGTTACAAAACATCAATCCATTGTCACTATTCATGCGTTTCATACAAATTCCATTGTTTTCTAACTCTTCCTTTCTTGATCTTCCCCCATCTCCCGCTGCCAGACATTACGTTGACGCTCACGTCATATACTACTTATAAGTAGCTCACACCACATCGGGACTATCAAGTAAGCAATGCTTGTGTTAGGAAACGGGTACTACATAAGGATGACACATTAACAAATTAAGTGTTGAAACTTCACCAGTTGAAGTGGTTGGGACATGTGCTACGAATGCCCAACGACCGACTGCCTCGACGAGCTATGTTTTGTGATGTAGGAGTAGGTTGGAAGAAAGTTAGGGGTGGCCAAACCAAAACACAGTACAAATCCATGAAGTCATTGACAAGTAGACTAAGTCATGTTGGTAAGTATAGACTACCTGGTTGGGATCGGCGAGACAATAGTAACCGATGGTTAGATACTGTGAATCGTTTGAAATGGCGCAGGTGCATCCATTCTTTATATCCTCTCAAATTCTAATATTCCGAATTCTTCATCACCTCTCTATCTTTCTCTGTTTAAACTTATTTTACTGGATTATACTTCCTGAATAATATCTTTGAACCCTAATCTTTTTCCAGTACCGATAATACTTCTACTATCTATACCACTATGGGATTCGAATGGATTATTCGATCTCTGTGTGCTAATGTGGTATAGCAACTTGAACTAATCTACGTACGTACGAAATCCTACATTGTAACTGACAAAACTCATAATTGTCGACAGAGTGTATACAGAAACTGTAGTGATAAAGTAAGGCTGATCTAAGAGGTATGATCAGTCAGTCAGTCAGATGCAACATAGAACTTCGTACGTAAGTACATCAGTTCATGTTGCCATACCACAGCAGCACAGAGACGCAAATGTCAAATCAAATCCAATAGTAGTAGAGGTAGTAAGGGAATTAGAAGTAATCGGAGAGGTTAGAATTAGAAGATATTATTCACGAAGTATGATTTAATGAGAAAAGTTTAGAAAGTAAACACTAGAGGTGTTGAAGAATCCAGAAGATTAGGATTTGAGACAACACAAAGAATAAATGCACTGGCGCCATTGCGAACGATTTTGAGCCATGTCATTCAAGGTCTCTAGCCATCGATTATTATCATCTCGCGGACCCCAACCAGGTAGTCGACAATTACCGACATGGCTAAGTTCACTCGTCAATGACTTCATGGATTTCCGCCATGTTTTGGTCTGGCCGCCCCTAACTTTCTTCCAACCTATTCCTACACCACAAAACAGAGTTCGTCGAGGCAGTCGGTGGTTCGGCATACGCAACACATGTCCCAACCACCTCAACTGATGAAGTTTCAATACTTCATCGATTGATCTGCCATCCTTGCCTAGTACTCGTTTCCTAACGACAGCATTGCTTACTCGCTTGTTCCACGGTATACGAGCAATGCTTCGAAGACACCTATGATCGAAAACCAGTAACCTACGAATATCTTCTACTCTCAATGGTCATGTTTCACAGCCATATAGGAGAACGGAGCGAACTGCTGCACAGTACACTCGTCCTTTGATTAGAGAACGGATATCACGCCTACGCCATAAGTGACGCAGGTTGGCAAAAGCCAATTGAGCCTTCTGTATCCATGCCGAGATTTCGTCAGTCAGCAGGCCGTCGGCAATAAATCGATTGACGAATACTATAGAATCATACACTAGTTTTAAACATTTCACTGCAATACCCTGCAAATCTTTTTACTACAATCATTGTCACAACTCATTTATCGGACCATACGTCGTTTTTAGATAAAAAAAATATATCTCAAGATGTGCATGGAACAAATGCATCAGATTTTTTTTAAAACAACTTCACAAAGTAAAAGTAGTTGGTCTTGTTTTGGTTACCTATAGCTTTCTCTAAACCCATTCCTAACAAATAAAGCACGTTATGATAAGTAATGACTAAGATATGTGCTGTTTATGCGCCTAACCCCAGCTCGGTTAGTGTTAGAATTCACACTACTGTTATAAAACTTGTTATTAACCTTAGCAGAACTAATTCGGTTGTCGTATAAAATTAAAAAACACTCCAATGAAACACTTTTTCATCTTCATTTCTATGAAACTATGTTTTATAGTTTTATAGTCAAACTAAATACACAATACCCGACCGAAGCTGCTACCTTGACGTGGTGGTCGGGCTTGCCTATCGTGATGACCCAACCGACCTATATTGGCTGGAACATATGTTCCTGAAGGATCTACCATGTCAGGCAAGTCGACTGGAGAAAGATGAGACTAAAAGCAGCTACTCAAGGTCTGAGAGCGAAGTCGTACTGCTGACTGCAGAGAAGTGTGACAGCAGCAGTAAGGTGTTTCCCTCGGACAACCAGCATCTGTAGCGATGCTGCCTTCTCACTAGGAAGGAAGGGTTAGAAAAGGTCGACCCTAAAAAGGTCACACCTCACCCTACCTCACGGATTTCCGTCTCCGGCGGTAAGGGTGCCCACGAAGGGTTTTCAAGAGCGGAGCTAATACTCAAAAAACCTTTCATAAAAAGGCCGTGTGTGACCGGCCTCAAGCAGTTGTCTCTTGGACTCTGCGGTCACGCAACCAGGTCTCTAAGATTAACACTAATCTACCTTCCTTTTCAGGTCCCTCAAGAAACAAACTTCCACGGTGTGTGGGCAGCCGGGAAGTGACAACTGCCCTCATACCCGTAACAGCACGAGAGACCAAATTGGTCAAAATCAAACGCTTCCTACACCCACACATACCTCTCTTATCTCCATGACTAACTCTTCTCACACTCATTTATCACAGTGCACAGCTAGTGCAGACGATGCGAGTTCGCGAAACGTCGTTCCTGGTCTCCTTAAACCCCGTTCTAAACTACATGTTCCATGAAGTCACTGACTAGTGGACTGATTCATGTTGGTAGATGTAGGCTACCTGGTTGGGGTCCGCGAGACGAAAGTCACCGGTGGTTAGAGACCTTGAACGATATGGCTCAAAATCGTTTTCAATGGCCCAAGTGCATCCATTCGTTGTGCTCTATCAAATCCTAATCTTCTGGAATCGTCAGCACCTCTACCTTTGTCTTTGTAACCTTATCTCACTGAATTATACTTCTTGAATAATATCTTCGAACCCTAGTCTTCTTCATTACCACTAATACCTCTACTATCTCTATCACTATGGGATTTGATTTGACATCTGCATCTCTGTGCTAATGTGGTATGGCAACATGAACTTATGTACATACGTATGAAGTTCTACGTTGCAACTGACTGACTGATTGACTGACTCAAATAGGTAACGAGGGAGAAAAAATGGTTGAATATCATTTTTTTTAAAAAAATAAAACAAAACTTACGCGGAGAACTTGATACTAAACTAAATACATTGTATACTTCAATAACACCAGATGCTAAACCTAACAATAGTAATGAAACTTGTGATTCACGAACAATAGATGAACGACGTTTATTTGCACGATGAGGCAATCGACAAAATGAACTATCACCACTGGCAAAAGTCATACTAATCACATCATCGTTAGTTTTGATACGAAATATCGGTTTCATATTTACAGGTAATGTATCACCATGTAACAGTTCTGATGTTAATATTTTCCAATTACTAATAGTATCTGTTGATAAATTTGTTGTTGTTGTTGGTGATGATTCTGTATTGGTAATAATTTCTTCATCTGATAATAAATTCGATGTTTGACAATGAGATGATAATGTTGGTTTGAAATTATTTTCATCTAAACATGTGGATCTGTGTAGAAGAGAATGAAAGTAATAAATAATTAAGTATGTTGAAGAGGAAGATATTGTGAAGATTATTAAAATGTTTAGTTTACACTAAGGGATTATTGATCTTAGTTAAACAAACAAATGTAGATGAGGAATTGCTAGGTTGGAAGAAAGTTAGGGGCGGCCAAACCAAAACATGGCACAAATCCATGAAGTCATTGACGAGTGGACTTAGCCATGTCGGTAATTGTCGAATACCTGGTGGGGGTCCACGAGATGATAATAATCGATGGTTAGAGACCTTGAATGACATGGCTCAAAATCGTTCGCAATGGCGCCGGTGCATTTATTCTTTGTGTTCTCTCAAATCCTAATCTTCTGGGTTCTTCAACCCCTCTAGTTTTGACTTTCTAAACTTTTCTCACTGAATCATACTTCTTGAATAGTATCTTCTAATCCTAACCTCTCCGATTACTTCTAATTCCCTTACTAACTCTTCTACTATTGGATTTGAATTGACGATTACTTCTCTGTGCTGATGTGGTATGGCAACATGAACTGATGTACTTATGTACAAAGTTCTACGTTGCATCTGACTGACTGACTGACTGAGGAATTGCTAGTATTCGCAATTATATAAATTAACCCCTCTATTGGCAAGGGTAATATTACATTGGTTTTCAGGAGAACCAAGGAGATTGGCCATGTGTTAACATTTCACCGTGAACATTTCGGCTCAATCTCGTGGTGCAACCACACAGGAGGTATCTGACACCCTAGTGGACCATTCACACCATTTATATACACTAGTACATATATAGTGATTATTTCCAATCCATGATCGCGTCAATCAATATACACCGCGTGAACAGGCCATTTCGACCTATCCCGCTTACATGACTGTCAAACGCATTATTATGAGCAATGGTGATATGTAATACAGCATCCCAATAACAATGGCCCTAGGGAATGTAGCAAAACAACCACTAGTATCAATGAAATCGGTCGCCCTCCTAACCAATTTTGTATATGGACTGTTAGCAACACTTGCCAAAACAATACCAAGCCATCCACAATGTTCAAAGCGAACCTATGGTCTCATGGGAAACCTTCAGTTGTATATATAGCAGCAGTATAACAAAGCATATAACATATGGTATACACATAATATGACATAGGATAACAAGAGATGCAGTGCAGCTTAAAGAATTACTGGACGCGTGTCATTAAGATCACCCCATGATGTAGAAAACAGATTTTGAAATTCATTATTATTATTATTATTATTATTATTATTATTACTATTGTTATTAATCACTAGAACAATCGGGGGGGGGGGGCAATCTGTGAAATTTGTAGATTTACAGATAATGTAGAATCAGATTAAAATTTTTGAACATTTCATTTGAGTAGTTTAGTAAGGAATTTGATTGATTATCAACCTAATATACATTAATTGACAATAACTGAAGAAAAACTGAAAATTTAAGAATGCATTAAAAGCGGTCAGAGAATTCGATACTGTGTGGCTGTAAGTTGTGTTTATGAGTAGGGCAGATTAGTTATACGCTACTTAGTCTTCGATTGTTTGAAAACAGACAGACAGGCAGACAGACAGATACAACGCAGAACAGACATTGATTCCTTTTAAAAAAAATACCTTCTAAAAGCCTTAGTTAAAGATTTTATAGTAGCTAATTGAATCATTGAATCGATGATTAGTGTAGGATAGAGTGAATAAATATGACATTAAATTGTTAATGAATAAGGGAAGTCAAAGAACGGTGTAGATGCACTATTTAATTACTGTTTTTGCATATATATTGATGTGATCAGTTTCGTTCAGTATCTTTTAAGTATGTGTCCATTTTGAATATGAGCTTATAAATTGCACGACATAGTTACACATATACATAAACTAGTTGTATAACTGTAAAATTTATGTAGTCGGCTTTGATTTATCATATGTTTCGGGGTTAATTGTAATTCTTATCAAATGCTTAAATGAAGGGGAGATCGTTCAGAAGAAGTATTCTTTAAGACTTTTAAGTAATAAGTCTATTGTGTTAGCTAACAATGATGACTCTTCTTTAAAACGAACGAATATGTTCACTGTAAGATTAAACGAACATTATTTTTTATGAAGAATTTGAAAGTAAGCACGAAAGTGACAACAACAAAAAAAAACATTTCCATATGAGATTTATAAAAACGAAATGGAATATTCAAATTAACAAATAAAACATTCCAGTTACAACATATATGAATATAAGGACTCGAAAAACTTACAGCAAGTCATCTACATAGTAACCTACGACAATTTGTGGTTCATCAACGAAAGCGAAGAATCGACCACAATTTGAAAAACTGCAACTGGTAATATTGTTTTGGTGAACACCATGATAAGCTATTGTTAAACGTAAAGGGATTTCATTAAAATCTGTATGTGAAAAGAAAACAAAGCAGTATTTTATCTGACAAAATGAGAAAACTTGTGTAATGTTAAATAAAAAATCAAACGAAAACCATTGGTCAAAATAATTTTCTGAAGTATAAAAAGATTAAGAGGCTATAATGATGGATGCATTCAGCAATATGAAGGAAAGTAAACACGCAACTCACTCATATAAACAGACTACTGAGACGAGAATCTGGATTTTCCCCAAAAACAAGAACTCTTAACGTTTTATTAATGCAATCCAGTGACTTTCGAGATAGTGGATGTATTAGTTGTGGAGTTTTCATTTTTCTTCTAAAAATCAGCACAAACTGCAAATAGAAGTCGAGGAGAGAAGTTCAAAAACTATGCCTCTTCATGAAGTTCGCGTTGATGATGTTTAAAGAACAACCAAAGCTTCACAACTAAATCGCCCAGCTCAAATAGCGAAACCACCACAATCAATGTCTTTCAATTAAATTAGTTTAAATGTTGAGGAAGTTCTGGGTTTTACATAAAGTTTGGAGATTTTACTTGAAATGCTCAAAAACTAATTAAATTTCACACAACGGTTGATGATAGGAATGACAATAAAGTTTTCAAAAAGAGACCGGTCTCGCTAATAAATAGGGAGTCATTATTTTCACAAACGTTTCAGTAAAATGTGGCTTGGTCTCATATTGAAATCTTATAAAAAATATTTATGCAACCTGAATACATTCACCATGAAAATGAAAGTATTTCTCGTGAAGAAACTTAGATGTATTACTATCTCATAACAAAATTCTTCATACTTAAACCTGACGCTGGAAGAAGCCCTTGGAGATAGAGAAGAAAATGAAACGACCTACCGCTGCTAAACATTCACGAAAGTCGTGCAATAAAGTAACTGTCCGGTTAAATAAACTTTCCGCATACACGACCTTCAGAAGCTAGGGTTATAGCGGACATTTTATATTAGATCCGCTTCCAATATCCAATATTTTTTCTATGAGCAAGTATAAACCAATTGATTTATTTGCGCTCGATTCTCATTCCTTCGGTATGGTTCCAGGTATTTCTCAGTGTCCATTTGATGGTAGTCTACCTATTCGAATGAACTAATTCTAGTCAGTTGACAGCGATTCATGAAATTGTATGTCACGTGACTTAGATGAGTACAGTTGTTTCAGGGCAATAGGGTTTCTGGATACCAGTAGCTATCACATTACCAGATCGGATATCAGTTAGTTTCAACGTGGAGAATATTAGGGAAAATAGTTTATTTTTGATCAAAAGAAGACTTCAGAACGCCGACTTTCTTCCAGTTACGGGAAACAATCCATTTTCTGGATACTTTATCACCCCCGAAGCTATACAAAGTTGTTTCCATTCACTGGTCGACAATCTGAAAACAATTTCTGGGAAACGGAACCATTCCAAGTCAGCAGGTCTGGCGGTAAGTCTGGCTGCCTCATTCAACTGCTCTTTTTCTAGTTGCTTCGGCAGCATACATACATTCACTCACTCACAAACACAGGGGACATGTGGACAAGTTACAAGATACACGCAAAGTTACTTACTAATACGGTCTAAGGCATAGTTTCCATTTCGGAGTATTTTCAGATTCTATTCCTTGTAGTTGTATTATATACTACTAAATTCTTCTTTCCTAAATCCTTTTTTGTGTGTCTCGTATCTTAATTATCTTAATTAATTAACATGACGGTAACCTGGAGGAGACTCACGTGCACGATGTGCGACAGTGGTGATGGCTATCACGTAGCCTGGCCCATCACACCACGATGGCTGTTTGCATTTCTAGATCGTCCCGCCCATCACACCTTACGTCCATCAAGTCGCCGCGCCTGATGGCTGTGACATTCAGGAACTGGGGAGACCTGACTGATACACTACAAGCTTGGAACAGTGCAAGGAACGATCTGTCTAGCCACATCAGGTGTTGCGAAAGCCGACCTTGATCTGTGAGACAACAGCAGGGAGGCCACAATGAACTCACAAAACTAACAGTTAACCTAGGTCAACAACCGCTGGCACAAGACACGATTGAACTCACTGCACAGGCAAGAAACCTGCAGAGGCCAGTTCCCACAGAACTGGCCAACTCGGTTTGAATTACTTGTAAGAAAATCCGACAGCGGCTGCTTCTGCAGAAGTGCACCAGGTGCTGATACAAGCCACCAAGTGCCTCTATAGCTACATAAGAGGATTAAGGGGTAAGTTGTTAGAAATCAGCAAAACTTGCTCTCAGATGAATCTGAAGATCGTATTCCTAACTGAAACATGGCTATCCCCTGACACTGCAGACGCAGAAGTGAGCTTGCCAGGCATGACACTCTTCCGAAGCGATAGGGAACACCAAACTGGAGGTGGAGTGGATATATATAAATATATATATATATATATATATATATATATATATATATAGCCACTTAAAAGCAGATCGACTATACGAATCCCAACTAACTGAGGTGATAGAATCATATTGGTGTCGTTCCCACTCGAATGGCACGAAATACTTGATTGGAGGGATCTACCGACCTCCTTCGGGTACTAAGGCCCAGAAAAGCAAACTGATTGAGGTAATACTGCAACTGCCACTCCTGGGGTTTGATCAAATACTCTTAGCTGGAGATTTCAATACCCCATCTTTAAATCTCAGCAATCAGAGTATAACTCCCACTGGTTGGTTCCAAAGACAACTTGGTACAGCCATTAGAAGCTCTGGGCTGACTGAGCACGTATGCGGTGCCACTAGGTGGACTAAGGAAGGGAAGTCCTCAAACCTGGATTATCTGTAAACTAGTGACCAGCTCCTGTTTCAGGATGTTCACGTCCGCGCACCAATAGGTAGTAGTGACCATGGCACAGTCTTGTTTAACATGATCATAAACGAAACAATCACACAGGACGATAACTTGAGTTAGGCGCGGCATTGAACGCTTGCTACAGGCGAAGAGGAGAGCCTGGCACAAGTGGAAGGTCTCCTTGAAGGATTCCGATCTCAGTTCTTACTTGGCATTGAGAAACAGATGCAATACCAAAGTTTGAAGTGATAGGAGACAACTTCAAATGAAGCCAGCTGCCAAATTACAGGCAAACCCGAAGCATCTGTTCCGTTTCATGTCTAAAAGAAAACCTACTAATCAAGGGTTGTGTTCTCTGAAAGGACCGAACGGGGAAGATCTCACCAACCTAGAGATGTTCGAGATCTTCAACACTAACTTTTCTGAGCGGTTAAACCAGGCGCCCACATGTTCAGAGTACTACGCCAACCTATTGCCAGCTGAAGGCTTAGGGAACATCCGTATCACTCCTGACTTAGTACTAAGGAAACTGAAGTCCTTACACCCAGGTAAGTCAACAGGTTGTAACAGAATTCGCCCCCATAGTCTTGAAACAATGTGCAGAAGTCCTCTGTTCACCAATATGTGACCTGTTCAGGCATTCACTGGAGTCACACCAACTTCCAGCTGAATGGAAACGATCTACTCTCTCTACAGTCTTCAAAGAAGGAGATATAAAGGACCCATCCTGTTACAGACCAGTCTCATTACTACCAATACTATCAAAGGTAATGAAAGGGCTGGTGGACGAACAAATGATGGAGTACATGAACAAGAATAAAATAATCCATGATGCTCAACACGGGTTTCGGAAAGGCAGAGTGTAGAGTGCACGCGAGCTGGCCAGTGTCCACATCGAGAGTTTCACAGGAGACCATCCTAAGCCCACTTCCCTTCCTGATATTTATTAACGACCTGTTAGGCTCAGTTAGCTCACCGGCATTGACCTACGCAGACGATGCGAAGATCTGGAGGTCTATCAGAAGCGAAGAGGATTTGACTGAGCTTCAAAAGGACCTTACGTCTATTGAGGAGTGAGCAGTATAAAACGGTTTAAAACTCAACCAAACGAAGTGCCACGTCATGCATGTTCTGCGTTACACGACACAAACGATCTACACCCTCAATGAAAGTCCGCTCCCAAATGTCTACTCAGGGCGCAATCTTCGTTTAATAACCACAGAAAGCCTCCACACGAGTCCAAACTATGTAGGGGACGCAGCCAAGGCAAATACGACCCTTCACTTTATGCGAAGACATCTTGGTGCCATCACCCCGCAATTATTTTTGACACTATTTAAGACATACGCGCGCCCACACCTGGAGGTTCAAAATGTCATCGCACCCTCTCTGCTTAAAAGAGACATAAATCTCTTGGATCGAGTGCAGAGACGAGCAACCAAATGGGTGATAGGGTTGAAAAAGAAACCTTACGAAGATAGACTCCAGCAGCTGAGATTATTCCCACTGAGTTACAGGAGGATCAGAGGTGATATGATTATGGCGTACAACATACTAGACATGCCAAACCATCCCAAGAAGAGCATGTTAACGATGCATCACCACCACTCCCCCCGAGGCAGTCCTTGAAGGATTGCACATCAAAGAGCGAATACTCATATTCGTGCACACTTTTTCTTATTGAAAGTCGTCGCTACTTGGAATGCTGTCCCAGCCGAGGTGACCACAGCCCGCTCATTAGACTGCTTTAAGAAGAGACTTGATAATCACGTACTCACATACGGACTGTCATCTCCCTCTTGGACAAGCTGTTCATGATGCATATCTTGAGACCTGCTACTTGTTATCATCGCGATCTCTTCAGATCACGTACTGAATATATCTCGCCTATCATCTCTGTTTCCTCCCTCTTGCTTACACTACGGTCCTCCCTCACAATATACACTATCAATTAACAAACTAAATTTATCTATTTATCACTTAGTTCTGAAATTTCATTCATATTAGCATTAGAATTTTATCCTTATTATCCTTTTACTCTCCACATTGCAACTAACTGATCTCCGGTCTGGTAATGTGATAGCTGCTGTTATCCAGAAACCCTACTGACCTGAAACAAACGTTTCATTCAAATCCCGAGACATACAAACTCATAACCAACTGCCAACTGACTAGAATTAGACAGTCGAGTGGCTAGACCTCCATCCACTGGACACTACCGAACATCTGGAACCGGAGTGAAAGAACAAGAATCGAGCGCAAAGAAATCAACTGGTTTACACTAGCTCGTGAAAAAGATATTGGATATTGTATATTGAAGTAAATCAATAGATAATTTAGTTTATTAATTAGTAGTGAAGGTAATGTTAGAGGATTTAAATGTAAGCGAGGAAGAGGAGGCAGAGAAAATAATCGAGGTAGATTGGGTTAGTGATCTGAGGAAATGTCACCTATAACGACCAGCCGGTCTCAAGAAACGCATTAGGCACAGTTGGCCCAAGAGCCTGATGATAATCTGTATGTTAGTACGTGTTTATCAAGTCTTTTCTTTACGGTATCCTTTGGAGAGGCTACGGTCACCTCGGCTGGTCTAGTGTTCCACGTTGCAGCAAATAATAATCAGAAAAAGTATGCATGAACCTGAGTGTTCACATTTGATATGAAATTTTTCGATGATTGTCTGGAGGGGCGTGGTGTCGATGGTTCTGTAATATGATCTTGTTAGGATGACTTGAGGTGAACAATGCCAATGTCAGATGACCTCTCTTGTAATTCAGAGGGAATAATCTCAAGTTTTGGAATCGATCTGCATAGGGTTTATTAGTTAACGCCATCACCCATTCAGTTGCTTGTCCGCGTACACGATCCTGGAGGTTTGCGTTTCTTTTGGGGAAAGGAAGTGTGACGAAGTTGTGAACGTGAAGGTGTGGGCGCGAGTGTGTTTAAAAGGGAGGTGGAAACAGTTGTGGGGTTGTTGTTCAAGTTGCCTTTGTATGAAGTGGAGATTGGCGTTGGCCTTAGCTGCACCCCTTATTGGGTTTGGACCAGTGTCCTGGCTTTTTGTAGTTATTAGATCAATTCGCCCTCTGAGGAGGCATTTGGGACTTGTTGGACAAAATGTTCATGATGCGACATTTTGACTATTTGAGCTTTAACTGGTTTTCCACTGCCCATTCCTCAACCGATGTAACAACCTTTCGAAGCTCAGTTAAACCTCCTTCCTCCCAATCTTCACATCATCTGCGTATATAAAAGGTGATGAGCCTATTTTGTCTCACAAGTCGTTAGTAGATATTAGGGAGAGGAGTCGATCCAATACGGACCACATGTGAAAATCCAGATGTTAAGACTCTCCAGCTCTCATGCATTCTGTTTACCTTGGTAAGAAAGTTCTATTCTAAAAGTAGTCTTTGAGCTAAGATAGAAGTGAATCAGTGAAACCCAATTTCGCAACTTTCGCAGTTACGAGGTACTATGTTGAAAACTTAATCGGCGTCAGGTAATGATACTCGAACCGGTATTTTTCGGTCCCAGTAGGTTGTCGTGCTATTCCATGCTATGAGAAGATGTGATACGCAATACATAACTTTCCTAAATCTGTGTTCAGTTTCATGGAGTACGTAGTTGTTATCCATGTACTCCCTCATCTATTCGTTCATCAGTTTTTCCATTACTGTTAGTCATGAGGCTGATATGTAAAAGGCTGAATCTTTCCTATCGCTTACGAACGATAGGGAGAGTAGCTTGTTTCCATTCCTCTGAGAGTTAGTGAGATTCCAAAAAATGCCTGAACAGGTCACAGAGTGGTGAAGTGAGTGCTTCTGTACACTGTTTCAGCTACATAGGGCCACTATTGTCACATCATAGGGACTTTCTTGGGCACAAGGATTTGAGTCTTCTTAGTACTAAGCCAGATGTAGGTCACGTAATCCCTAGGTCATTAGCTGGCACTAGGTTTGAGTGGTACTCTGAACGTGCATGTACCTTATTTAACTGGCCGGTGGAGATAACCCTAAAGATCTAGCAAGTTCTTTCCCATTTAGACCTGAATGGGAACAAACGCCCTGGTTCGTACGCTTTATTAGTCATGAAGCCTAACAGATATTTTCAGTTTTCCTGTCTTTTGGCAGTAATCTTTGTCTGGAAGTGTCACCTATCACTTCGAACCTTGGCATTGCATCTGTTTCTGAATGCCGAGTGAGATCCACAGTCGTAATCCTCCAGTGAGCCCTTCCACATGAGCCAGGCTCTAGTTTTCTTCTAGAGCAGGCGTTCAGTGACTCGCTTAACCAAAGTTCTTCATTCTCCCGGTGTGCTATGTGCCTGAGGTAGATTGATTAGAACAGCATTCTAAATGATGTCTCTTACTGTTTGCCGGTGATCATTTACTGTTAGCCTTCAACAGTTCCACGGCCATGATGCATGTAAAAGATGCTCTCTTACGCGCGTTGAACTTGCTCTAGTATAGCTCCCACCTGCGTGTTTCGTTTATATCCATGAAAAATATGACTCCTCCATGGTCTCTACTACTTACTGGTGTGTGAACATGGACATCATCGACCAAGAGCCGATCATTTGTTAACAAATAACCCAAATTTGAGGATTTTCCATCCCTAGTCCACACATGCACACATGCTAAGTCAGTACTGAACGTCCAACAGCTGCTTGGCCAAAAACAGGAGGTGGTAGTTGCAATGTTACCTCAATCAGTTCATCTTTCTGGGCACAATCTACTTCGATTACTTTTTCAGCCTCCTCTTCCTCGCTTACAATTAGATCCTCTCACACTACCTTCACTGCCAATTAATAAACTAAATTATCTATTTATTTACTTCGTTCTGAAGTCTTCTTTTGATCAACAATAAACTATTTTCCCTAATATTCTCCACGTTGAAACTAACTGATATCCGATCTGGTAATGTGATAGCTACTGGTATCCAGAAACCCTATTGCCCTGAAACAACTGTACTCATCTAAGTCACGTGACATACAATTTCATGAATCGCTGTCAACTGACTAGAATTAGTTCATTCGAATAGGTAGACTACCATCAAATGGACACTGAGAAATACCTGGAACCATACCGAAGGAATGAGAATCGAGCGCAAATAAATCAATTGGTTTATACTTGCTCATGAAAAAGATGTAGGATATTGGATATTGGATTTAACCGCTTTTTCGAAAGCTTAGAAGTTGTCGTTGTGAGGAACCAATCGCTCTATAACAGTTTGACCTTCAAGTGCTCAGTAACCTAAATCAATGGACTATTTAGCTTGTGAACTGTTGTAGTTGTTTTGCTTTTCATTTATCTTCTATCCTTCATTGGCTAACAAGCAGAAGACTTGTTGCTGAATCCACGCAAATTTTTTTGCTATAACGGTCTAAGGTAACGTTGCAATTTCAGTGTCAGGTTTTATGCTTGTCTGGTATATATGAATGTTATACGGTTACAAAATCTGCTGTGTGACAGTTCTCACTCAAAACGTCATATTAGTTTTATTACGTTGACAACTTTTTCGTCATGCTGTAAATAATAATTTGATATTTTTAGGGTTGATTATTCACTTCAGAGCTATGAGACAACTGGTATTTTATAAATTTATCTGGTAATTGATTTGTTAACTTGGCAGCATTTCCTTAAAAATAGCTATAAGGCTGATCACGGTCACTATATTATATTTTCATCCGTAGGTTTCCTTTCTTTCATTAATGTTCTGAACTTTCATTGTGAGCACTTTGTTAATAGTTTCACATCTCAATCGACTCACTTCATTAGTTTTGTATGGCGTCATATTTTGTTGGTATGTTTTGAGGTTGTTGTAACTGAACGATCTCTTCTATTCCTCGGTTATCTGAATGAAAGTTATTTTTGTTGTAAAATTTTCTCACCGATACAGTGTGGTTTATGCTCTTAAATAAAAACCGTCGTTCGGGTAGTAGCTATCCATAATATCCGTCAATGTTGCATAATCTCTATAGGAAAATAATTTATTGTTCAGCAGCCAGTTGTTGGAGCCGAATAAAAATTTCATTCGTTCTTGTTGACGAGGACGTAAGCTGTTTATTAATGCTACAAATTAATGCCGTGGTGCTATACTATTAACAAATGTAAAATACAATAACTGTGGCGATAGACATTCGATATCCTCCTGAATTCCGTATATGGCTGTCCTGACGACCTTTACTACAGATCCAGAGTCGTCGCCACAATTTCTTTATTATTCGAAATATATAATGATTACTACAAATATCAGATTTAATACAATTAAATGTATTCGATATCGTTATTGAATTGTTGAAAAAAAATGGATAAAGTTAGACGAATAACTATGTGCTTAGGCGATAAGCAATGCCCCATCATACGTGAGCATACAACCTCAATAATGATAAAAGTACACAATATATATGAGGTATTACAACTCTATAATATTGGTTATAACTTTTCATGTAGGCTTTTATTAGTCTGAAGCAATAATCAACGTATAAACATATTGCACCTGAACCTCCTACATGATATGTCACGCTAGAAATAAACTTATCCTCGTCTGAATTTTCAGGAGTAGACCTTTTACCAGGTGGCTCGCTAATTGACTTAGAATATGCCGATGACATTGTCCTACTTGGTGAAGACGCTGACAAAATTTAGTCTTCTGACTACCCTAAGCAACAATGCAAGCATGTTTGGGATGCGGTTTTCCCCCTCGAAACGCAAAATGTTGCTTCAAGATTGGGTTTCATCGGCACCTGAACTAGGGATAGGGAGTGAAGTAGTCGAACGTGTAGACCGCTTCACTCATCTTGGGAGTCTCATCAGTGCCGATCGCCTGGTGACTGACGAAATCTCTGCTCGGATACAGAAAGCTCGATTGGCTTTTTCCAACCTGTGTCACCTATGGCGAAGGCGAGATATCCGTTTGCTGACTAAAGGACGAGTGTACTGTGCAGTGGTCCGCTCCGTCTTACTTTATGGCTGTGAAACATGGCCAGTGAGAGTAGAAGATATTCGTAGGTTACTGGTTTTCGATCATAGGTGCCTTCGAAGCATTGCTCGTATATCGTGGGACACTCGAGTGAGCAACGTTGTTATTAGGAATCGGGTGCTAGGTAAGAATGGCAGATCAATAGATGAAGTAATGAAACTTGATCAGTTGAGGTGGTTGGGACATGTCTTGCGTATGCTTAACCACCGACTGCCTCGTCGAGCTTTGTTTTGTAGTGTAGGAATAGGTTGGAAGAAAGTTAGGGGCGGTCAAACCAAAACATGGCACAAATCCATGAAGTCATTAACATGTGGACTTAGCCATGTCGGTAATTGTCGACTACCTGGTTGGGGTCCACGAGATGATAATAATCGATGGTTAGAGACCTTGAATGACATGGCTCAAAATCGTTCGCAATGGCGCCAGTGCATTTATTCTTTGTGTTCTCTCAAATCCTAATCTTCTGGATTCCTCAACAACTCTAGTTTTGACTTTCTAAACTTTTCTCATTAAATCACACTTCTTGAATAATATCTTCTAATCCTAACCTCTCCGATTACTCCTAATACCTTTACTACCTCTCCTACTGTTGGATTTGAATTGACAATTATATCTCTGTGCTGATGTGGTATGGCGACATGAACTGATGTACTTACGTACGAAGTTCTACGTTGCATCTGACTGACTGATATAAGTCACGAAAAGTGATGTCACCCTATCTAGGAAAATTTATGTAAGATGGGAATAATAACTCCTTATTATTGTGTCAGGATTGAGATACACATCTCTCATAGTAATCCACGTACACATGTCCAACTTCTGCTGAACACTTAAATTTGTCTATACTAAAAGCGAACAGTTCAATAAAGTTCGCCGGAATACGTAGTGTAAGATCAAAACTTAACTCTCCTCTCTCCAATTTTCATGACAAGGCAAGTTTTTCATTTGTGCTGACTTATAATTTTTAGTAGCAATCGATAATAGTTGCGAAATAATAACTGTTTTACTAGATGGTATGCCCTGTCTCACTAGACTGGAAAGACTAAAGAGTAGAGTATTCTACTACTTAGTGTGTTGGGCAGTATACACAGAAATAGTGCTATCACTAGAACGCACATTATAACTGCTAATACTACTAGTAAAGGTCCTAATTAAGTGGTTAGTAACGAGTCGAAGGTCCCCGTACATTCTTTGTCTTCCTCCAAATACTAGACTTATGAAGTCTTTGTGACTGTTCTTCTTTACTAAAAATTTATTTCACTGATTTGAGTTTTCTAGAATCTTATCTTCGATCCCTAAACTTTTTTTTATTATTACCAACACTGTTTCTACCTTTACTACTCTGGAATTTGGACTGACAATTTCATCTCCCTGTGCTAATATTGTATGACAACTTAAACTGATGTACATACGTACAAACTCTATTTTGAGATACTCATAGTTGTTGAAAATGGGTTCTGTTTGTTTGAGTCTTTTAGGCTTATAGAGAAAAGTTCAGTTTTTTAAGTCTTCATCTGTAAACTTATACTACTCGGTAACGTCTCACTTTTCATCAATGTCATAAGCTTGACTATAGCTACTTTCTTGATGTGGTGATCAGGCTTGCCTATCGTGGTGACTCAACCAAAATGTATCGGCTGAAGCACATCTTCCTCCAGGTTCTATTATGCCAGGCAGGTTGGTTGAAGAACGGTAGGAATAATAGCGCCAACTTAACATCTAAGGGCGAAGTTGTGTTGCTGACTATAGAGGATTTTGACAGCAGCAAGATGTTTCCTTCAGTTAACTAGCATCTGTAGTGATGCTGTTTCCTCATGACCGGTGTAAAGGTTGGAAAAGGTTTACTCTGAAAATGTCACACCCTGCCACATCGATTTTCGTGTATGGCGGTAAGGCGGAGCTAATACTTCAAACACCTGTTTAAAAGGTGCTTTATCAGCCTTAAGTTGTCTCTCGGACTCCGTGGTCACGCCTCCGGGCCACAAAAATCAACGCTAACTCAGCTTCCTTCCTGAAACCACGCTGTAAAATATATTTTTGACCTTCCAATGTCCAAACCCTGTGCTAAATAGGATAACACATACGTAGCTAGGATTGTAGAACCTTGCGCCATTGGTTTATGCTGTGTGACCGAAACGTTCATGCAGGGTCCAGGTAGAGTTATTCACTTGGCCTCACATTGTCAATCAATCAATCGTGTGCTCTAATGGGTATGAGGGCGGACGTTACTTCCCGATAGGCAGCTTAAACACAGGGTGATAAAAAGCCTGCGCAGTGATCGTGAGTAGTAGTAAGTAGCGAAAGCAAACGAGATGTAATAGGCAGCGGCGATAGATCACGGTGAACAATTGTTCATACTTATCAAAGTAAGTGGCATTAGAAGTTTGACTGTTAGTTAGATTCACAGGAAAAGATAAAACTCCTATTCACCCTTAATCCAATGGACCAAACCGGTGTGCAGAACACTTTAGAGAACAGTGGAAATAACTTTTAGCGCATATCTGAGCTACCTATCACACAGTTCGCTCCGTTCTCTATATGGATGTGAAACATGGCCGTTAAGAGTAGATGTTCGTAGGTTACTAGTATTCGATCATAGATGTTTTAGAAGCATTGCTTGTATACCATGGGACAACCGAGTAAGCAATGCTGTCGTTAGGAAACGGGTGCTAGGTAAGGATGGCAGATCAATAGATGAAGTAGTGAAACTTCATCAGTTGAGGTGGTTGGGACATGTGTTACGAATGCCTAACCACCGACTGCCTCGACGAACTCTGTTTTGTAGTGTAGGAGTAGGTTGGAAGAAATTTAGGGGTGGCCAGACCAAAACATGGCGGAAATCCATGAAATCACTGACAAGTTGACTGAGTCATGTTGGTAGATGTAAACTATCTGGTTGGTGTCCGCTAGACGAAAGTCACCAATGGTTAGAGACCTTGAACGATATGGCTCAACATCGTTTGCAATGGCGCAAGTGCATCCATTCGTTGAGCTCTCTCAATTCCTAATCTTCTGGATTCGTCAGCACCTCTATCTTTGTCTTTCTAACCTTATCTCACTGAATTATACTTCTTGAATAATATCTTCGAACCCTAGTCTTCTTCATTACCAATAATACCTCTACTGTCTTTATCACTATGGGATTTGATTTGACATTTGCGTCTCTGTGCTAATGTGGTATGGCAACATGAACTTATGTACATACGTACGAAGTTCTACGTTGCAACTGACTGACCTATGTCATAAGGTAATTACTGTTTACATTCATTCACTTTAGACTACAAGATTGTGTCATGTATACATAGTCGAAACAGTGGAATTTGTGCATCATTCTTAAACTACGTATACACGGTGAATGTTTGTGTTAGTTCTGAGTTACGTAGTAGTCAGTCAGTCAGTCAGTCAGTCTAAAAGCAGACTAAAAGCAGCTACTCAAGGTCTGAGGGCGAAGTCGTACTGCTGACTGCAGAGGGGTGTGACAGCAGCAGTAAGGTGTTTCCCTCGGATAACCAGCATCTGCAGCGATGCTGCTACCTTTTCACAAGGAAGGAAGAAGAAGAAGAAAAGATCGACCCTAAAAATGTCACACCTCACCCGACCTCACGGATTTCCGTCTCCTTGGGTAAGGATGCCCACTAAGGGCTTTTAAGAACGGAGCTAATCCTCTAAATACCTTTTAGATGTACACTCTCTTAATATAACGTGTATTGCATGTTTAAAGAAGGAACTAAGTGTCTAATTATTTTATAATTTATATAATAGAACCATTGGAACCCTATGAATCTCACAAAAGAAGCTAATTTTGGATCAATTCGTGGAAGAGGTCTTGTCGCTACTCAGCTTATAAATCCTGAAGATATTCTTTTTTCCGAAGATCCTTTAATATGTTGTCAATTTTCATGGAACAAACTTTATGGATATAAAGCTTGTGATCATTGTATGTGTCCGCTGGAAACATCCGAGGAGAATGCTAGAAGACTTACTAATAATCCAACAATTATATTACCTTATCCAGAAGTATCATTTTGTTGTAAAGAAATTATTCATTGTCCTAATTGTTCAGTTAATTATTGTTCACATGCTTGTCTTGAATCCGCTTCACTTACATATCATTCAGCAATGTGTGTTGGATTCATTGAAGAAGAAGGCAGTGAAAATCCATTAGAAAAATTAGATGCAATTTGGCGACAATCACATTATCCTCCAGAAACTGGTACTATTTTTTTACTTGTTCGTATTGCTGCTGCATGTTTATCAGCATATTTTATGGGTTCATCGACATCACAACATTTAATTGAATCATTGAAACAATTTGTTTCTGATACAACAACAAGTACAATGACTAATGAAGATGGCGCCAATAATAGTGTCCTTTATCATCGTATACTCAATGATCAATTTGTTGTACATATTGAACAAATTCATAATGCATTTATTGAAGTACTTGTATTTTTATGTCAAAAATTTATTCAGACTGCGTCAAATGATGAATGTATTCAAACACTGCATAAAGTTGGATTGAATAATTTATTAGTGAAAGATCATTTTCTAAATGCTTTATGTTTAATTAGTCGTAATGGTCAAGGTATTGCAACTAGTGCATTCAGTGTTTGGGTTAATCAAGCTGAGAAGTTAGTTAGTACAATGAATGAACAGTTGTCTACGGAATTTAATCTTTTTATTAATCAGCTATATACAGCAATTGATAATCATGTTGGTTCTTTCTTAGATAATGAAGGAGTCGGTTTGTACTACTATCAAAGTAGGTATTTTTTTTGATTGAGTTTAACACATTTCATTTAATCTATTCACAGTGATTGGATTGTGACCAATTTAGTCTCCTCGTGTGCGCTGGTACAGGTATGTGTGAAGGTGGATGTCACTTCACGGCAACCTGAACTGATGTACTTATGTACGACGTTCGACGTTGTAATTGACTGACTAACTGACTGACAGTGATCCGAAGTGGCTGACGATATTTTTGTTGCTCCATTTGAGGAGCTTAGTGCTATGTTCCTGGTGGTAGTAGCCAGCTGCCCAAATGAAAATAACCACCTGTGACTTAGTGATTGGTAGTCGAATCCCCTAATCATTGAATCACTAATAGTCATGTGCTTGTTATATGTGCTTGCTATATGGGTTTGCTCTTGTGAACTTCTATTTTGATTAGGCAATTGACTGACTAAGTTTGACAATTAGAGTGTTCCGACATCTTGGAATTAGTCGATAGTTGTCCTTATCTTTAGAGGGTTTACGTCATTTATGTATCAACTGTCGAGGGATAAGTTTACTTCCGATTGTATTCAGATTATTGACTTCCATCCATACTTTGTAGATTGTTCAAAACCAGGAGAAGATTTACTCATGAGAAGTAAGTTGGTTTTCGTTCTAATCAAAGATGTATCGATCATATCTTCACCCTCTGCTAAATGTTAGAACACCGCTATACCTATAGAAAACCAGCAATCGTTATATTTCTCAACAATAAGGTCGTCTTTAATTCGTTGGAAAGGACTGTTCTTTGAATTTGTCTATTTGAATAAGAGTGTACCTTAGATGTTTTCTCATATCTTGAAGGTTCCATACACAAACACAGACGAAATGAGAGCATACAACCACCTCTCCATTGTTTCATTCAAGCAGTGGGATCAGTCAGGATGGTCTAATCTCACCATTCCTCTGAAACTTTGCCATCGATGACGTTCTGGAAACAGCCCTGATGATTGTAGATAACGGTGGTTCTCACGCCATGCGATCCACACTTGATCGATTGCCAAACGGTTTCTATAGGTAATGGCATGTATTTTACACATTGCAAGTGCAAAGTACTCTTACAAAACTAGAAGGACGCTGAACCTGCACTCATTCTTGGTGCTGAGCAGAAAGGAGTAGTCGACAAGTTCGTGCATCTAGGTAACTGGGTATACGTCGATGATGGCGTGAGTGATGAGACTAATTCATATATAATGAAAGCCATAATAGTTTATGCCAACCTGGACCATCTTTGGTATCGTTGTAATGCTGTTTAGACTGTCAGAGGTCGGGCTTGTGAAATCTAGTCTCTGAGAGCCGAATATATTAAGAAACTTTGTGTCCGATTACCATTAACCCTGAACGATTGGTAACACTGTGTTAGTAATGCAGAGGTTTGTTAATCTGCAACGATAATGCAATTAGTGTCACTATCCTGAAATATCGACTTTGGCGGATTGAACATTCGTCGTTCGAGCAAATCTCACATTGTACATTCTTTGCCAACACTGTGACTGGTTTTAAAAGCTGAGAGCCGGTTAGTGTATGGCATTATGTTGAAGTATGAAATAAAGCTGTACTGGCCTGGTATCTGTTGGTCTCCAGCAACTTCTGGAGTGAGGCTCTAGAGATGACACAACTCAGTTGCTTGAGACGTTATCGGTCATGGCTGAGAGTCGAAACCAGTGGCTTTCCTGCTGTAACTTCCTTTTAACTTCTTCACATAAGTAAGATGAACTTCTTAAACTACAATTCTTTCTGGTTGTATTTTCCGTGACTGAATTGTTTCTCCTATTATCGTTTCTATTATAATTACTACTATTATTATTTATTCAGTTTCATACATCGATTTGTATTCATTTTTAAAAATATTGTACTCACTTTCCTTTCTCTCTATCTCTGTGTTCCAAACCACAATTTCATTGTGTTGGTTTGCTCGTATATCCTGGGATGACCGAGTAAGAAATGCTGGTGTTAGGAAAAGGGTGTACTAGGTAAGGATGGTAGATCAATAGACGAAGTGTTGAAACTTCATCAGTTGAGGTGGTTGGGAAGTGTATCACGAATGCCCAACCACCCACTCCTTCGGCGAGTAGTGATGCCTGATGTAGGAAGGATTAGGTTGGAAGAAAACTAGGAGAGGCCAAACCAAAGCATGGCACAAATCTATAAAGTCACTGACAAGTTGACTGAGTCATGTTAGCATATGTAGACTACGTGGTTGGGGTCCGCGAGATGGTAGTAATCGATGGTTAGAGACCTTGAACGACATGGCTCAAAATCGTTTGCAATGAAGCAGATGCATCCACTCCTTGTGTTTTTCGAGTTCTTTTCTTCTGAATCACTGATCACCTTTATCTTTCTCTTTTTGAGATTTATTTCACTGAATTATACTTCTTTAATTATATCTTCAAACCCTAATCTTCTTCATTACCTCTAATACTTCTACTATCTCTGCTCCTATGGGATTTGAATTGACAATTCGATCTATTTTATGTTAATGTGGTTTGGCTACTTGAACTAATTTACGTACGTGCGTACGAAGTTTTATGTTCCAGCTGATTGACTGACTGACTAACCGAAATAACCTGTCATTACTTTTTTTTCCATTATACTCCCTTAGGTCGAATAAATCATAGTTGTTCACCGAATGCAATTATACGTTTCAATGGTATCAATAGTCGATTATCTGTAGTGGCATTGACATCAATACAAGAAGGTGAAGAAATCACTATCTCTTATTTAGATCATTGTTTACAATCACGTAGTCGTCATACTCGACGTAAATATTTATCATCAAATTATTTATTTTGGTGTGATTGTTCAAAATGTGAAATGGAAAAGACCAATGGTGCATTAAGTGTCACATCCTCTGAAGATGATGACGACAATGACGAAGATGGAGTTGATGATGATGATGATGGTGGTGACTGTGATATTGAACAGAATTAAATGTTGAATAATTTCATGAAATTCTTCAACATTTAACCCTCACTCCACTGCACTTCCTTCAATGCACATGAAAAAATAAATCAATACTCTCTCAACAATGGAATAAATTTGTAAAAAAAATAAACCCATTTTGTATAAAAATACGTAATAAAATATATAAATTTTCAGATTGTCAATAAATCTGTTTTCGGTAGTAGTTTTTTTTCTATTGATTTAAGAATTACTTTGTTAGTAGTGATTGTTGTTTGTTGAAGATAATATATACACATGAATGCAGTCAGTTCAAATTAAACTAAGTATGAAGTGAAGTGAAGTAGAATGTTAATCTGTTTTACTTACTTACTTACTTACTTACTTACTTACTTACTTACTTACTTACTTACGCCCACCAGTTTTCTCCAACCAACTCTGTCCTGGGCTTCCTTCTCCAGTTCTGTCCAATGTTTGTTCATTCCTCTCATATCTTTGGCCTTCCTCTTTTCCTTTTGCCTTGTGGGTTCCATGTGAGGGCTTGTCTCGTGACGCAGTTAGGTGCTTTCCGCAATGTGTGTCCTATCCACTTCCACCACTTCTTACTGATTTCCTCCTCCACTGGAATCTGGTTTGTTTTCTCCCACAATACGTTGTTTCTGATGGTGTCTGGCCAACGAATCCGAAGTATTTTGCATAGACAACTGTTCATCAACACTTGTATCTTCTGGATGATGGCTTTGGTAGTTCTCCAAGTTTCCGCTCCATACAGTTTAACTGTCTTGACATTTGTATTGAAAATCCTGATTTTGGTTTTGGTTGAAAGTTGTTTGGAGTTCCAGATGTTTTAAACGCTAACCAGAAAAACTAATCTGTTTTACTTGATTGTTAAATGTTCAATGTTAACACTGATGGGCAAGTAAGCACGCGAGCAAGCAGGCGACAAAGCTAACTGTTAATTGAACTCGTTTTTATTAGTTAGTTAGTTAGCCTTTGAACAGGTATAATTCCAATGAAATGAGTTCTTATTCAATGATAGATACTACTATATCCGGCAAACATTGTGAAAAGTAGAAAATGAAAATGGCCGACCAATTACGATGGTTTTCTTGTTTAAGTTGGCAAACAAAATTGGTGAACTATTCATGCGTCCCTCTGATTAATGGTATCTTTGTTTTTATAATCCTGGAGGTGAAAATCAATTGAGTGAAGAACTAGTTAGGAGTTAAGACATACAACCTTGGTCTGAATCCTTGCTTCAGTTCGGGCGACCAGGTCGTACCATAACCTTTATCGTACGTGTTTTCCATTGATCCATGATAAACTAACTTTTCTTATTGGTTGATACACTTTTTATCCGTTCAATCATTATTCAAATGGTTATGCTTTGATGGTCTTTGCTAAGTGCTGATTATTGTCGCACCGTAAATATGATTTTTAACGTAAACTGATCATTATTTAGTGTAGTAGTACCATGTAGCATCCATGAAGTCACTGACAAGTGAACTGAGCCATGTTGGTAGTTGTGGACTACCTGGCTGGGGTTCGCGAGATGTTAGCAACCGATGATTAGAGACCGTGAATGACATACCTGAAAATTGTTTGGAATGATGTAGGTGCATTCATTCTTTGTGTTCTCCTAAATTCTATTCTAAACTCCTTATGATCTTCATCTTTCTCCTCAAATTTATCTCTCTGAATTATACTCCTTGAATAATATCTTCGAACCCTAATCCTTCTGATTACTGTTCATACTTCTACTACTATTGAATTTGAATTGACCATTGCATCTCTGTGTGCTAATATGATATGGCAACTTGAATGCTGATGTAGATGATACACGCGAAGTGCTACGTTATTGCAGACTGACTGGTATAATTTCAGTTAATTCATAGTCAATACGTGACTACCTTTTATTATCTTCGTTGGTGAACTAACTACCTTACCCCCACTACTCTTGGTCTCATTAAAATTTCAATAAATCACCTCTCAAACATGATCATTATTATTGAATACTTCAGTATTATTGTGACCCGGGGTTTATAGAAATTGTTGAATTGTCATAGTTTTTATTTACTAGTCGTAGATATACACTACTGAAAAGTCGCTTATTAGGACAGTGTTGGGGATGTTAGATTCCCAAAACTCGCTTGTTAAATGCCTTATTTTGGATTTCACGTTTGCCAGTATGGGCTGATCAGTTGACCTTGAGATTTCATTTCCCACCAGGAAAATCCATGTCTGTGATTGGCTGTTGTGTATTTTAGTGTGCTATTTTCGTAACTGTTCTATGATGTATAAATAAATGAGATTTGTGTCTGCTTGATTGTATTATGATTGCTGGATGTTTGTAGAATATACTTTCTACGCTTACTAAGTCTTCTATCTTCAGCTTGGGATTCGAGGTAGCCTATCTGGACGCTGGTGATTGTCTCGTTCGCGTTTATTTACCAAGGTGAACTCGTAATAGCTTCAAGCGTACCTAGTGACGAACCCTACAGACAGAACATTTATTCAGTTTCAAATATTTCCTGATTCTCAACGGTTGTATAACTTGAATCAATCAGTTTTGCATGTAAACTCTGATTACATGAACTGTGTGAAAACATACCTTATTTATAACAGATTAACATAATGAATAATAATGTCTTGGTGGAAATTGTTTTGAAGATGCAAAAGAACTAGTATCCTGAATTCCTCCACTATTATTAGTAGTAGTGGTTGATGAAACAACAACAGTAGTAGTATTTCTTCAAATTTCTTCAAATATCGCTGAAAATGTTTGTGTTTCTTATGTTAACATTTCAGTGCTCTGTGTTTGTTTACAACTCAATAGTTAATGTTGATCGTTATGTAACTTATCAATAGGTAATGTGCATAAAATCATTTGACAGTCACTTATAGTTTATCTAGTTAGCACAATGAAGTTCAACTTTGTTCGGGTGTGAAGCATTGCTCGCCTGAAGACAGTGTATGTGGTTGCGCAAGACCGTGAATTGATCAAAATTAGACATTAACACTATTAGATACCTACTCAGTGATCCAGAGGTTAGGCGTTCACGTGCAAGACCGAAGGTCCTGGTTTCGAATTCGACGAGTCCCATATACCAGGACAAAATGGCTGTACTTTCAGTGCTTCCAGGTTTCTAATGGATTTCAATAAGTAACTCAACACTTTTCACAACCCCATAATGCACATAAATTATGTTCATAAAAACCGTGTGTCTTTCATGAACATCAGCCAGTCAGCCTTTTTTTTAGATAAGAGAGTACTTATATCAAAGCCACATTTGGCTGTCAGTTTTTGTTCCAAGTATGACGCAACTAACCAGACAGAACGGAATTCCAGAAAATTTTGAGCTTACATTTCATACCAGTCTAGGCTCATCATCAGTAAGGTACATTTGTAATTGAACTAATGTTTTCGTATTTGAAGACATCATTGTTAAGTTATTCCAGAAGTATTTGACCTATAAAAAAAACTGTCAGTCATACTTCAACTTCACTTGTAAAGTTTACTCATCGCTTAAGGATGTTACAACAACTTGGAGTTCGACGTTATTCAGTGATAAATTTATTCACTAAATAGTTCTGTTTGTGTGTTACGCATGCGCTTGACCAAGTCAACTGATATGCTTGAACTATTACGAGTTCAACTTAGTCGGTAAACGAGAGCTAAGACAAGTGATCCATTGACACGATATGCTAATCTAATCCGAATGTCCCAAACCCCCCCATTGAGTAGAAAAAGAAGACTTGATATAAAGTAGAACATGTATTCTACAAGTATCCAGAAAGTACGAGATCCAAGTCCAAAAATAGGCTAAAGATCTTGGACTAAGGATTTGGGTCATAAAACATTACAGATAATGCATATTTATACAGTTTGGTCGAATAAGAAACAACATTGAAGTGTGTGTGTGACATTGATAGCAAGGACGACCAATAGGAACTGACCAATATAGAATTAGACTTGCACAAAATTTATTCTCTTACGATAATTCGATGTATATCCTAACACTCTATCAAACTAGCTGCTACCTTGACGTGGTGGTCGGGCTTGCCTATCGTGATGACCCAACCAGGCTATACTGGCTGGAACATATGTTCCTGCAGGTCCTACCATGCCAGGCCGGTCGATTGGATAACGATGAGACTAAAAGCAGCTACCCAAGGTCTGAGGGCGAAGTCGTACTGCTGACTGCAGAGGGGTGTGACAGCAGTAAGGTGTTTCCCTCGGATAACCAGCATGTGCAGCGATGCTGCCTTCTCACAAGGAAGGAAGGGTTAGAAAAGGTCGACCCTAAAAATGTCACACCTCACCCTACCTCACGGATTTCCGTCTCCTTGGGTAAGGGTGCCCACTAAGGGCTTTCAAGAGATGAGCTAATACTCAAAAAACCTTTAATAAAAAGGCCGTGCGTGACCGGCCTCAAGCAGTTGTCCCTTGGACTCTGCGGTCACGCTCCCAGGTCTCCAACACCAACACTAATCTATCTTCCTTTTCAGGTCCCTCAAGATCCTTCCTACACCCCCTAGTACCTCACTGACTGACTGACTGAATTCTTTGTTTTTGACTTTTTTTTTTCTTTTCAGTTTAAAAATCTGTTCTGGTGGTGTTGTTGTTGTTGTCGTCCAAATTCTATCGGTGCTGATAACAACTCAACTAATCGTTATGATGGTAGTGGTAGTAGTAAAAATCCTATAGATTTAGAAACTCGTCGACGAATACAAGCTGAAGCAATGGAACGTCGAATAGCTGAAAGTGAATCACGTGGAATTAAAGATTTAGACAAAGTGAGAAGACAACAAAAACGTGCAGAACAATTAGAAAAAAGTCAACATGATAGTAAAACACTAGATAATAATTTTCTACGATGGAATGTTGGTTAATCAAGTAATTAATTAATTAATTAATTAAAGGATCATAATGAACTATTTTTGTGTGTGTGTGTATGAAAAAATGTGTTATTTCTTTCTTATATATATATTTTTTTAAAAATAGGTCATTAAGGTTTTTTTTTCATTTTTGCCCTTTTAAAATCCAATGTTTATGGTGTACACATAACAAAATTATTTTATTTTGTAATCTGTGTTAGGATATTCATCAAAGTCTAATTCTATTGGTCAATTCCTATTGGTTAATTCTTATTGGTCGTCCTGAAAGATCAATGTCACAGACTTTAAATGTTGTTTTCTATTGG